AGGTAGAATTAGATAATAAATTTTGTGGATTGTAATATTTTCCATAATTTTATTAATAAAAATATGGAAAATATTATACTCCACAAAATTTACTATCTAATTCTACCTTTATGCTCTAAGTAAACTTGTTCTACGCATAAAGATACATCATATTGGTATATGTTTACTTTATAATTTTAAATTTTAAGAGAAAAGATACTTAATTTTGAATTTTGATCAAAATTTCAAAATTAAGCATCTTTTTTCTTAAAATTTAAAACTATAAGGTAAACATATACTGATATAATGTAGTTTTATGCGTAGAACAAGTTTATTTAGAGCTTGAAGGTAGAATTAGATAGTAAAGTTTTGTGGATTGTAATATTTTTCATAATTTTATTAATAAAATTATGTAAAATATTACAATACACAAACTTGTATTAATTAAATCTACCTTTATGCTCTAAGTAAACTTGTTCTACGCATAAATCTACACCATATCAGTATACGTTTACCTTATAGTTTTAAATTTTAAGAGAAAAGATGCTTAATTTTGAAATTTTGATCAAAATTCAAAATTAAGCATCTTTTCTCTTAAACATTAAAACTATAAGGTAAACGTATGCTAATATGATGTATCTTTATGTGTAGCACAAGTTTACTTAGAGCATAAAGGTAGAATTAGATAGTAAAAGTTTGTGGATTGTAATATTTTTCATAATTTTATTAATAAAATTATGTAAAATATCACAATCCATAAACTTTTACTATCTAATTCTACCTTTATGCTCTAAGTAAACATGTTCTACGCATAAAGATACATCATATCAGCATATGTTTACTTTATACTTTTAACTTTTAAGAGAAAAGATGCTTAATTTTGAATTTTTGATCAAAATTTTAAAATTAAGCATCTTTTCTCTTAAAATTTAAAACTATAAAGTTAACGTATGCCGATTAGTGATGCGACCCAAACCTAGTAGTTTCGGCACTTGCTGTATCCCAAACTGGCTAAACTAGTTTGGGACTTTTGCCATAATCCCAAACTAATATAATATTAAAACTCTAAATACTGTAATAAAATTACACAGTATTATACACAAATTCTAGTTACAATTTTTTTTGGTTTGATTATTTATTTGCACTAAAAACTTTACTATTAATTAACTATATACAGTATATAAAAGGAAATTATATAATACAGTAATAACTATTTAAAATTTAAAAGCAGAATGAATTCAAAAAAACTTCTGGATAAGAATATACTATATTTAATTTAAATATTTTTTAAAATATTTTTATTATAATTTATTTAAATACAACAATTTAATATATAAAAATAAAGTTGAATAAAAAAAAATAGCAATAATAGATAAAAAAAAATAATAGGAATGAAATCAAAATGAAGATCAAATCAAAGGATTAAAAGTAATATAAAATAGAAAAATAAAATTTTCAAAAATTTAATCAATTCTAAGATTAACTTTTGCATGTTTAATAGTTCAATACTTCAATATCTTTTAGCATACATAATTCAATATTTTCTAGTATACAATTTGTAATAAAATGTTTAATAAGTTCAATATGTATTTGATTCGCTAGTTGTAAAATCATTTATAATATTATCAATACTAAAATTTAAATTTCCACGTCCTTCAATATATCTATTATTGCTTATATTTTCTTCTATAAAAATAGAGTTATTCAAATCAATTAATTCTTCAATTTTTAATTTTTTATTCTCTTGTAACTGAAATTCTACTAAATTAATAGCTTTCTCCTCACTAATTGGTTGCCGAGTATCTTTCCAATTAGCAAAAGCTGTTTGTTCTACAGTATTATTGTAAATAGCTTCTATTGAAAGAGATTTATTATAATATTTAAGCTCTTTAGTTAAATTTGCAAGATATCATAAATGAACCTTTGCCATAGCTTCTAATCTTGTAGGTTGTAGTCGAGTTCTTTTATTTCCATAAAATCATTTTAATATTAAAAAACTTTGCTCACAAGAAGCCTGTGAAGGCATAATTGAAAAAATCATTTTTGCAATATTTTGTAAATGTAAATAGTCATCATCAATTATAGTCTACCATAATTTAGAAGTTTGATAACTTTCATATGGAAAATCAAATGGTGAATCTTTTGCTTTATATCGACAAAGTTGATTTATTAATTTATTACAATCTGCTTCATCATGAAATTGCTTTGAATAAAGTTCTAAAGTTAATTTGCAAATATCTAAAAATTTTTTAGTTTTTAAGCCAGTTCCACGGTATTTAGAATGCAAATAATAAGCTAATATATAGATATCTAAATTAAAATTTGTATATCTTTTGTTAAAAATATTAATTGCAGATTTTTTAAATAAATTATTAGCAGAAATTTTTTTAATTGTAGCACTTAGTTTTACTAGATTAATAAAACAATCAGCTAAATTAGCTGTTCATGATTTTAATGAAGTAATTGTTTATTTAATTGAATGAAATATCATTGCTATACGTCTACAAGTGCTAAAAAAAAGTTTCTTTTTCATCTTTTAATAGTTTATAAACTATATCATTAGTTATACAATTTCGATTTTCTTCTAAAATTTTGTCAAAAACAGGTTTAATCCGTATAATAGAATTAGTGGTATTAAATGCTGAAGCCCAACGTGTTTTAGTGAATAATTCTAAATTTCCATCTCGGATATTTATATTATTGATTCCATCATGAAGTAATCGACTTGCAATATGAGATTTTTTAAAAAAATTAATAATTAAACTTGTATTTGCTAAAGTAGACTTAATTGCAAGAATCTCAACAAGATTGCTTGATATCAAATTAAACCAATAAGCAATACATTGAATATTTATAACCTGAGAATAAGTATTATTAATTATTTGTTTTGCTAATTGGATATTTGATCCATTATCTGATACTATGGCAGCAAATTTTAAAGACCCAACTTCTTCTATAACCATGCTAATTTTATTTGCAAGATAAACACCTGTTTGAGAATTCATTGAGTAATCTTAAATAGCAATAAGATATTCTTTGTGCTCAGGTGTTGAAACAATATAATTATATAATGAATCATTAAGTGGACTTGTCTAGCTATCAATTGCTAATATTAAATTTTGTTGATTTTCAAGAGATTTATTAAGATTAACTGTAACAATTGCAAGCTCCTTATCTAATAACCGATTAGCTAAAGTATCTCTATGCAGAGAAATATAGCCAGGTTTTAGCAATTTAAGTAAATTAATAAAAAATATGTTATCAATAACTACCCAAGGTATACTACAACAAATAAAAGCCTTTATTAAAGCTCGATTTAATTCTCTTCTACAATCTTCACTAACTGGTTCAACTACTTGAGATAATTGCTCATGATTTTTCTTTGTTTTTTTTTTTTTTTTTGATTTGTATTAAAAGAATCATCTTCACTATTATCGGCTAATGAAAGTTTTTCACCTCTTTCAGCAACTTTATGAAGATAAAAAGTAATAATATGATCAGGTGCTTTATCACAATATAATGCTAGATAACTTTCCAATAATAATAGTTTTCCTCGAGACTATGATTAATCACAATACTGACAAGTAGCACTATAATAACCAAACTTATTTGGTATACTTTTTTTAAAATTTTCCCAAATAGGTAATGCTGGACATCCTTCTTTTTTAGACATCTTTTTTTTAGACATCTTGTTTTGAAAATTTGTAGGCTGATTATCAGGAGTCTCAGTTGAATCCATTGATATTAATACATGAAGAATAAAATCAAAAAATAACTTACTAACCTGCGGGTCGATAGCATAGTAGTTATGCTCCCAGGTTGCAAATCGGACGGTTGCCGGTTCAATTCCTCCCAGCGGCGAAATAATGAAAACCCAAATA